GACAGCTTCAGGCGCACCTCCTTCCAGGCCGGATTCTTCAGAAAGAATATATTCTGCGAGCCCAACGGATCGCCTTTGTAATCCGAGTTCGAGTAGCGATTGCTGAATTTCGCAAAGTCCTTGACCATGATTCGCTTAATCAGCTCCGGATCGCGCAAGAGCAGCGCTGGCTTATAGAACACATGAATGCCCACAAGGGGCTTATCCTGCGCATCCGGATGATTGTACATCTCGCCAATGAAATCCGCCGGACTACTGCGCATGCTCAGCAGCCCGCCCAGGTTGCCCACAAACAGCCGAGGACGCAGCTCAGGCACTCCGCGTGCTATCCAATAGGCATAATGGTGTCTCAGGTAGTAATATCCACAGATCAGGATGCAGAACAGCAGAAGCAGCACTGTGCCAAGCGTCATTCTCACAGCTCAAGCGATGCCCAGCCACTGTTTGCCACGACTGCCTTCCCATCGGGGTTTATCCTCAGCTCGCGCTGGAAGATTATGATCGGGGTTAAGCTAATTGCGTCACGCGTTCATTTTCTATTCTCGGTTTTTGGATTTCTGAATGAAATGCGATTTTCATTGTATATGCTTCTTCTTCGCCGTCTTTTTGTTTCTTTTGTATTCTATACTTCATTGAACAGAGCTCAGGCGTATTTCTATGAGAGCTTCTTATGTAAGAGATGAGATATACATACATGCACATTTGAGTTATGATTTCAATTAAAATTAATATATTTTATCTTCCAACTTCTATCTTTCAGTTATGTTAGCTCTTTCCTTGGCTCTGATGCTGCTGTCTCTGGCGCTGCTCTACACCTACTTGTACCTAGAGCAGCGCTATAGCTACTTCCGTCGGCATCGACTGATCCATATACCCGCCTCCAGCTGGACGCCATTTGGTCACCTGAAGCAGCTTCTGCTGCTGCGCATCTCGTTTGGTGATCTCTTCAAGGAAATCTATGCAGATGCACGCATTGAGCACGCGAAGCTTGCTGGTTTCTACGTGTTCCAGACCCCGGTTCTAATGCTGCGCGATCCGGAACTAATAAGCCTGGTGCTGATCAAGGAATTTAATAGCTTCCTCAACCGGTATGAAGCCGCCGATGCTCAGCATGATCCGATGGGCGCATTGACCCTGCCCCTGGCCAAGTATCCGGTGTGGCGAGAGAGTCGGCGCTGCATGTCGCAGATGTTCAGCAGTGGCCGGATGAAGCAGCGCATGTATCCCTTGATGCAGCAGGTGCTGCTCGAGCTGGAGCAGCATCTGGATAGGCGCATGGCCGGGCGGGCGGAGCAGGTGCTGCCGCTGAGTGAGATGTGCCAGCTGTACACGACCGATGTGACGGGCAGATTGTTCTACAGCTGGGATGTGGGTGGACTGCGCCATGGTGAGTCACTCCTAAGGGATCAGACTAAGCAGCTACTCCACCCGAATCTCACCAAGGTGCTGCACTTCATGTGCATCTTCTTCTTGCCACAATGGACTTGGCTACTACGCGCCAAAGTCTTTGCCGAGGGCTATGCGCGTTTCATGCGACAGATGGTCGAGAGGCAGCTGCGGCAGCGATGCCAAAAGCGTAATCCTCTAGCGGATGTTGATCTGCTTGGTCTGCTGGAGCCACTGCAGCGTACGCAGCACTCGGATTTCACAGCTTCCCAGGCGGGCATCATTCTCCTGGCTGGCTTTGAGACTTCGTCCGCCCTGCTGGGCTTCACATTGTACGAGCTGGCCAAGCAGCCGGCGTTGCAGCGACGTTTGAAGCGGGAACTGGCCACAGCCTTTGGCCAGGATGCGCAGCTTAGCTATGAGACAGCTTCCACCTTGCCGTACTTAAAAATGGTTTGTCTGGAGGCTTTGCGCCTCTATCCCGCTGCTGCATTCATCAATCGCGAATGCACACGACCCGAGGGCTTCTCACTGCAACCACACATGGACTACGTGATACCGCCTGGTATGCCCGCCTATATATCCATATTGGGCATACAGCGTGATGCCAAGGTGAGAGCTGAAAATATTCAGAGCTAAAAGCTTCTACTATTCTAGTTAAGATGGCCAAGGAAAAAAAAACAAAATAAAGTCCCTTCCCTCTAGTCTAGTCAATATACTAGATTAAATATATTAATTATAAGCATGTTTAGCATATTAGAATATTTAATAATAAGCAAAAAGTGCATATTTACGTATTACTTCAATTGCAATATTAAGTCCAATAAGAATAACGTATATCCAACTATTTGCTAATAGGCTACAGTCTAATGAGAATATCTAGCATATTCATGCATTCTCTAATTAGAATGTTAATAATGTTTGTGTCTTTGTTTTTATGCGTATGCAATCGCAGCCTGTTATTGTATTGGAAGACTTCCAGATTCTACCTTTCTAACTCTATTGAATTCCAGTACTGGCCCAATCCATTGCACTTTGATCCGGAGCGTTTTGCGCCGTCACGTCTAAAGGATATAATACCCATGACTTATATACCCTTTGGTGCTGGACCGCATGGTTGCATCGGCAGTCGACTGGGTTTGCTGCAGCTGAAACTGGGCGTGGCACACATACTGCGAAGGCATCGAGTGGAAGTGTGCGATAGAACTGTCAACCAAATACGCTTCAATCCAAAGACCTTCATGCTGGAGTCATTGGATGAGTTATATTTACGTTTCTGCCTAGATCCCATGTAGTTAACACCAATATATTTAAATATCTATAAATATAGGCTGTGAAATACGATCATTAAACTACCTGTCTAAGTACTATAACAATTATCTTTTCATCTATCAAGACAGCTCAAAGGGCTTTGTAGTCATGTCAAAAATGGAAATTGTTATACAAAGTGATTTCACAGACACGCAAGGGCTAATAGGATACATAAATATATATCTCATATATATAAATAGTTATATACACTTGGTATTGCATGTTATTGAATGTTTTTCTGACAGTTGGTGAACCAAAGAATTTTAATTGTTCCACGTTTTAGCGAGAGATAACTGTAAACAAAATCTTTACGATCCTAACAAATCAGTCAGCAATGCAAAAATTATGTGTAATTGATTTTTCATTACATAAATATAGTTCAATTTATTTTGCTCTTTCCAAAAGTGCTCTTAGCATGAATATTTAAGTGTCTATAGATAATCGTATATTCCATGGAGGTTCACATGCCGTAGTATATTACTCTTAGTTGGGATGCTGTTCGAGTCGTGCCAGCTTCTCCTCAATGTCCTTGATGCGACAGCGCACCTCGGGTGCTGAGTCGCGTTGAAATTTGCTCAGATTCGCTTCGAAATTTTGCTTGAGCAGCGCCAACGTAGACTGATCCCTGGTCAGGCTGAGACGCTTGATCAGCATCAGAACGATGTTGAGTGCCTCCTTTTTGAGTCCTGTATGGGGTACGCCGGCAGCTAGAGTGACAGCGGCCAGGACATCACTGCAGATCTTCTGCACGATGGCCTCGCGTGTCTGCAATGGTGGCGCCTCCGTCTTCGGCTTCTTTTCCAGATTGTTGCGCTCGAGCGCTATGTCGGGTAGCTGGGCTGTCTCGTCGAAGATGTACAAGCGCTCCACGTACTTGGTTAGCGCAGCCAGCAGGCTCACCTGTACAGGCCGTGTGCTCTCGCTCAAAATGCTCGTACAGTTCTCGGCGAAGAAGAGTTGATATCTGTGCTGGGTTTCGATTGCATGCTTGGGCCACGCCTTGCCGAGGGTCTCCCAAACAACTTCCTTCAATTTGTTAAGCGTTTGGGCGCGTTTGTTGCGCTCATCGGCTGTTAAGTCCTTGCGAGCAATGCCACTACAGCCAGCCTCGTCATCATCATCTGAGTCAACGGCGCGCAGCTCCTTCTTCTCCAGCAAATACCAGATCATGTTGCAAACCTCCTCAAAGCGATCTGCCTCCAGCACATCCAATATGTCGCCGAGCGCACCTAATGCCATAGTACGATAGACTGGCTCCTGTTTACGTGCCTCGCGCATGGCTGCTTCTATGATGCTCGGACAGATCTCGTGCTGGCGATCGAGGTGTTTGCATAATGCAGCCAGCGCCTGCAATAGCCGCTCCTTGCCCTCGAAGGTGCGTCCCTGCAGTCCACTAAGCAGCAGCTTGATGAGCCGCACTCGATCCGCTGTCTCCAGAGAACTGCCGAGCCGCACTGCTATATTCTGGATGACATTGGCTGCCTGCGCCTTTCGCGACCAACTCGCATCGGTTAGCGAGGACTCCAACTTGGGCAGGATGACATGCAAATTGACTCGAATGCCCGCATCTCCTGGACTAATGTCCATCCACAGATCCTTCCACAGCTCAATGTTCGCTTTGTTCTCCTCGTTCTGCTCCTCGTGCATGGCAAAGAAGATCAACGGGAGCAAGCAGTCCATGTAGTCCTTGAGCAGTTCATGGTGTCGCTTATTAATCGATTGTATGGTCAATGCAATGGACCGATTGTTTGGCTGTTCCATATACAGCTCGTCCAGTTTGGCAAAAAGATTCTTAATCGATTGTTCCTGTAAGAGGGAGATTTTAAGAGGAGCAAGGACTTAGCTAAGTAGCAATCTTACCTTGGCCAGTCCCATGAGATGTCCAATGGCACTCGCATTATATTTGCGCACCGTAGCATTGCGATCCTTGATACCGCCAAAGCAAGCACCCAAATATTTGCCCACCAGGGGCGTCATCTCCTTGCCTAGACGTATGCTAATCTGTGGAAGAAAAACCAACAGAAGAATTAGTTTTTGTATTCCAAAGGGATTAAGAAAAGAGAGGGACAACAGAGACATAGTCTCAGATGTAGTTTCTTCACTCACCAGGCAAACAAAGTGGGCGCAGCCAATTTTGGTGCCCAGATTCACGCTGGTCTTCATCAGCTCGAGGAGCTCTGGGGTCATGCGCTCTAGCACGGGGTAATCAATGAAGCGTACACACTTGTTGATCGTCTCCATGGTGTGATGCGACTTGGCTGCCTCAGCGCGCAGACTGTCGACAGCTTCCTGTGCCTCATTGTCGGCGCCCAGACGAGTGGACACATACGAGAGCTTGGTGTTTTCCAGCTCGCCTGTAGCGCGCAGCATACAGGGTATGAGAGTGGCAAGATGCGGTGCAATCAAAGCACCCGACGAGTCAATCATTTCCGATATAGTCTTAATGCTGACCTTGCGTATTTCTGCAACCTTGTGACCCACGCCCGTCTCTAGTAGAAAGGGTAGAATTGAGGCAGCGACGGCAGTGCCTGACTTTCCATGCTCCGAGGAGGCGGCTAGTACGCATAGCTTACTCAGAAATGTGGCTGTGCCTTGGGCAGTCATGCGTGTGCCCTCGTGTATGTCATCCATGACGCGGAATAGCTGATACCAAAGCTCGCGCAGCTCCGGCTCAGGCAGCTCGTCCACATCCATGGTATCAGGCGTTACCCGACGAATCGTCCCAGTGGTCGATGTCAGGTGCTTCTCCTCGGAGCGCAAGCGCAAACCATTTGAACGCTTAAGCAAATCCCGCACAGCCAAGCAGCAGGCAATGCGCACACGCCATTCCGTGCTGGTCAAATTGTCGAGGAGTTCGCGCAGAATCTCCCAATAATATTGCTCGGTTACTTCCTTCGAGTCCGTGACAATGGTGTCCCATATGGATATCATCGAGTTCTGGATTTTGGGTGTCGGATCGTACTTATAACGATAGAGACGTGGTATTATCTTGCCCAAATAGGGTTGCATCTTCTGCCGCGACTCCGCAGAGAGCGTCTTCAAGCCAAACGCCGCACCCAGCTTGCTGGTCCAAGTGGCATTATGATTAGCCAGCTGCATAAACTGATAGATCATATCGGGCTGATTGAGATCGGAGGCAAGGGAGCAGAGTTCCTTGTAGGTGGTGATATTACCGCCTGTTGGCGTCTTGCCCAGCATGCCCTCGGCAAAGAGTTCGGTATCGCCAGTCACCTGATTCACCTGCCTCTTGCCGCCAATCAACTGATCGAGCAAAGAATTAGCCAGATCCGTTTGACAATTCGAATCGGAGAGGGCGTAAACCAAGCCCAAGCCACGTGAAGCAACATCTTGCACGAATTCTGTAAGCAAAGGAAAATTGTTATACACAAATAATTTAAATATAATATTTAAATAATTGTACGCACCACTATCGTCCGACAACAGCTCCGTAAAGGCGAACTGCAGCAGTTGCTTTTTGTTGAGCACTGCGGGTCGCTTACTGCAATGCTTGACCACAGCGAGCAGCCAAACTGAGATGGCCTGTCGCGATTGAGGATTGGGTTCGCTAACCAATCGTATCAAGGCAATCAAGAACTGCTCGAAATCTGCATCGCTGCAATGCACATTCACAAATGTCTCCGTGGGCGGACCCTTGTTAACATCGTAGCCACACAATGTGCTGACAATTGCCTCCGAGATGGCAATATTCAATGCTGCATCCTTTTGCACCTTGGTCAGCGTTAGGAACTTTTCCAGATTGCGTTTAGTAAAGTGGGCGCCATCTCCAATTGCCAAATAGCCCAAGCATTTGGCTGCCTCTTCTCGAATCCTTTGTCTAACGGAAGTGCTGCGCAGCAGTTGGAAAACGACGCTGAATATGATCATCTTCGTGGAAATTTGAATGCTCTCTGTTTCGGCCATTTCTTCATCATCGTCGTCATCGTTGTTGCTAGTGGCACATTGAATTTCCACTGGCACATTGGGTATCTCAACCACTTTGCCAATCATCGAGGTGCATTTTACAGCTGCTGAGATGAGCAGCCACTGGGACTCGGTTAGCATTTTCGCTGTGAATGAAAACCAAGTGTTATGTGTCGTATTACTTTACGTTATCCATCAAGACTTACCAATAATTTTTACTGCATTTACAAACTCCGTCCAATTGGCATAATCCTTGCTTATATTTTGCTCCCGCAATTGGTCAATTTTGCGATTGAAACTGTGACCCAACACCAAAAGCCAGCCATGCTTATGCTCAAGTGATTTCTGCGATAAGGTGTTTAGACAATCGCCGATCTCCTGATCAAATTTATCATTTGGTAGCCCGTAGGCCCAGAGGATGCCATAGACCTGGGCAACATTAAGACGCATTACTTCGGAAACATCTTTCAGCGAGTTGCTCAACGGCTCCAGTAGATGCAATTGCTTGGGCGCAAATATCTCGGGTGCCGCATTCAATAGGTCATAGAGACATAGTAGCGTTGAATCAGCTAAAAGAGAAAGAAAGAGTTGTTACTCTCATAATACTGAGGATTATGATTATGAATACTTCGCTTAGCTTCCACGCCGCGCTGCACAAAGAGTAAATATTGTTGCAGTGCATTAGATTCCTCCTCGTCATAGTTGGTGATTATATATTTGCGCAGCTCATGAGTATATTTCTCATCGCCCGGTGCGGCGACGATGCCCGCCGAATACCAGAGACAGAGACGCAGGTAGTCGAGTATCTCCTCGTAGACATCCAGACTATAGGGCAGCTTGGTCCGTCCAATAACCACACAGCAGCTGCTCTTCTTCAGTCGCTTGTTGGCCATCTCATGGACATGGGCCATCATTGCATGAAAACTGGGCAGCAGGACGCGTCGTTGTTCGAGTGATAAATGATTAAAGTCGCTAATCGATTCGCTAGTATGTTTGCCTGTGTGCTCAATGGAAGAGAGCATGCTATAGTTGACATGATCCTTCTTCGAAGTTCCATACAAATAGGTAGTCACATTCTCTCTCAAGGAGTTGCTATTTATAGAAAGATTGAAATGGATTAGGTACGTATATACAGATTATAGGTATATTAGCGAAAACGCACCGTTCGCCTGCAATAAGCAGCAGCAAATAACGTGCCGGTGCATAGAACTCTGGATAGCAGCTGGTGAGGAAGACACTCGTTACGTTCTGGACAATTTGTATCTTGGACTCGGCATTGTCGAGTAGCATGGCCAGTAGCAGATGCTGTTGTCCATCCAACTGCACCTCCGATGGATCGCCTTGCTGGTCCACATCCATGGCATCTGATTTGGTCTTCGTTTGCCAGGCAAATGCTGGCGCCATGGAGACCAACGCCTCGCGTATTGAGCTATGCAAGTCGGGTGCACAAGTCGCTAGATTATTAAAGTAGGCCAGCACTAGTTTCAAATCTTGGCTAACATCCTCTGGAAAGCTGCGCGCGTGTTGAGCTAAGGCGGAATACGCTGCATTTTGTACATCGTTCGGCTCTACAGAGTCGCGTCCAATGACTTTTGTGATGCCAGTTAGCAGAACTTTGGATACCTTAGAGACGACATCTTGTGGGCCGCTATCGTAGTGGAGGAAGGAAACACGTTAGTAAGTGTATCTTCAGTATGCGATTCAGTATACAATGCCAACTTACTCCCGTAGCACCAACTCCACGAATTGCAGTGCTAGGACCTTACACTTCTGATTGGTATTGTTGCCAAAGAGTCCATCGAAGATCACTTGGAGACCCTTGCCTACAAAGATACCCTTGCCTCGACACTTAACCAAATACTGCAACAGCTTTTGGCGCACTCGAGCGCAACAGGGACGCGTTTGCCGCTCCGTCAACTGATGCTGATTGCCAATGAAGAGCGTGTAGAGAGGAGATGTCACAGCTGGGTTACTAAAATCCAGCATGGTGCACAATTTACTCAACTCAGCAATGGCAGGCGTGGCCACGCTGAAACGCGTATCAGCTGAAGCCACCACAAGTAGAGGAAATATATCATTATCAGCGAAAACTCCTCCGCACAAAAAGCGCACGATGCCCTTCTTGATCTTCTCCAGCTCCTCGGCTCGCCAATTGTTAGCAATGATACGCTTAAAGCTGTAAGGACTTAGTCCAGGTGGCACATCCTGATCCTGTGTGACGCCATAGGGCAGCAGAAGCACATCCTGCAGTAAAGCTAAGAAACTGGCAGAAATTGCCGGCTTCTCTTTTAGCTTAAACAAATCTCCACGTTGTGCCGGATCATCGGGTATTTTCATTTCACTCAAAATGGGCAGTAGAAGCATGAATAGCTTATCCTGATAGTTCTCCAGTTTGCTTTCGCAACCCAACACCTTGGCCGCCAGTTTTGTCTGCTCTTCCAACGGCAGGCGAGGGAAACCCATACTAATGAAAATGATGGCAAAGTTCTTAAGGAATGTGGTGCTCTCTGATCCTCCATATTGATCGAGGAGTGCTTCCACTGGTATCTGCACCTGGCCTCGTGATGTTAGACGTCGCTTTATATGTGTCAGCACCTCGACCACCTAGTTGATATACATCAAGTTACAGTAAATTTCTGCCAAGTCATTCAGGAATTCGTTTTACCTTAGAGCGTACTACGCTGTGCGGCGAATTGATTTTGATGATGACGGGCGTCAGAAATTTACCCACTGTCGTTTCTAGCTTCTCATCGCTGTCCGCATTGCCCAGACGCAATAAAACGCGTTCGAGTAGTTCTGCACAAAGAATGCAAAAATTTTTAAGACAGTTTTTAGCCGCTGATTACTTTTAACAAAAGCCGTCTAACTTAATTATTAACTATACAGAGACACTTTTCATCAGCTTAATATATGATGTACTGTCCAATTAGACAAAAATATGTAGTAGTTTTACCAATTTCTGCACTTGGCCCCGCTGTTTCCATGTTGCTTATTTTTCTGGTCAATTTTTTTGTTTAGCGTCTGAGTGAGTGTTGCCAGTGCATCCTAGACAGCTGCTTATGCACGACGTTGCCAGACTATTGAATAGCAAGTCATTCTGTTCTGTCTCTGCAAATAGGCGCGCTGTTTGAATTGTGGGGCACTCCAAATAGCGAACGGCAGATGATTTTCTAAACTTGTTAACAAAGCGCGTAGTTTGAAATCTAAACATCGTTGATAAATTCATGCTAAGAATTACCCAGTACCCAGTACCCAGTACACGTATACGTACGTATACGTATTTAAATAAAATATGTTTGCTTTCATTACGAGGCCTTTATTGAAATTAAATTAAAACACATTCGTATTTTTTTTTTAAAGAAAATATCCTCTTGAAAGTCATCAACGAAAACCTGAAAAATAACAGATTCAAACTTTAGTATAACATATAAGTAACAAATAGCTTAATATTATTGAATAAATTTCAGTATTTTTACATTTAGTAAAAAGAGTCAAGTTTCTTCAGCAATTTGTTTTATGAAGACCGTCATGATTTTATCATCAGAGAATAATAAAGAAATACACATTTTTCAAAAGATTTACTTAATACACACCTTTTAAGAAAAAGTTGGTCTCGCCTCCTGAAAATTCTGAAAGAATAGAACTACAAAGTTACAGAATTAAATTTACAGTTTTTTTTTTTGTTTTATTCAAAAAGAATAGTGCTACAAATATTATTTTCTTCCATAGCGGTTGTCCTCACTTAAAACTTCTTGAAGCTCTTCTTGGCGCCCTGACCCTTGCTGACTTTCAACACGTTGAAGCGCACGGTCTTTGAGAGAGGACGGCACTCGCCAATTGTGACGATATCGCCATGCTCCACATCTCTGCAAGGAAAAAAAAATATATTAATATATAACAAATGAAGTAGAAGGCAGTAAGTTACAGATATAATTAGTTGTCAGTTTTTTACGTTTAGTAAAAAGAGTCAAGTTTCTTCAGCAATTTGTTTTATGAAGACCGTCATGATTTTTTCATCATAGTAGAAGTAATATGTAGTTATGTCAATGGGGTAGAGTATATATACCTGAAGGCGGGCGAGCAGTGGACGCTCATGTTGCGATGACGTTTCTCAAAACGACTGTATTTACGCACAAAGTGCAGATAATCGCGACGAATGACAATAGTACGTTGCATTTTAGTTTTGCGCACAACACCGGTAAGAATGCGGCCACGGATTCTCACATCACCGGTCCAGGGGCACTTTTTGTCAATGTAGGTGCCATCGATGGCCTGTGGGAAGAAACAAAATTGATTAGATGAACAACTTTTTTCTTTTAAGAGTGGGCATTTCTTTTGTTTGACATGCATTACCTCACGGGGGGTTTTGAAACCGAGACCAACATCACGGTAGCGGCGGAGCACCTTCTTTTTGGTGATGCCGGGCTTGACCTTACGGTTTAGGTTAACACCGAACTGCTTTTGGAAGGCGCGCTCGTTCTGTTTAGCATGGCATACAAGTTACATTGGTTGCGGGGTACACAAACGTGCAGGTGGGGCATGGAACGGAAGAAAAACGAGGGGGCGCAACATTAGTTAAATTTGCTATGGAGCTCTTACCTCGGGTGGGACTTTGAAGCCCAGCCCAACTTGACGATAGAAACGAGGACGTTTCTTGCCATTGACACTCTTACGTCGTATTGTCGGCACTGAGTGTTGCTTGCGAAATGCGCGTTCTGTTTGCTACAAAAATAATAGTCAAATTCCAAGTGTATTTAGCAGCGTAAACAGCATGCGTAGAAGTGTGGTTAGGTTGAATGTGAGCCTCACTCGCTGTTGCTTCTCCTTCTTGGCAAACAATACCATCAATGGTATATAGTAAATGTATTGCTCAACTCACAATGCACCATATTTCACATTTCACATTAAATTTGTTTTATAGCAATGCTATAACTGACGTATTTTATTTAATTTCGAACACATTTTTGCTGCCTTACCTGATCAGCCATGTTGGAGCAAGAGGAAAGAAAGAGCACGCGTCAAAATAGAGATGGGCGATATTTCAAAAGCGAATACATATCGCAATGCTACTGTAACGAGATGAATGTTTGTGCTCTGAAATGTGAAATTTGAAACGAGAATTTGTTTTACAAGAATATTTATTCAATCTAAGAAATAAGTAAAGTTGAGTTATTTAATACATTTAATGGTTTATTGTTTATTATTGTGTATTGATTCCAGCTGGCATTCTAATAAGTCACTGTGACTTTTAATGTCACGACATCGCTTTTCTGACTATCGAGTGTGCAAATGGTTGTATATCGATATGGATATTCCCATATTTGCTTGAGTTTAAATTTATCGTTTTAGTAAATTAAAAAAAACGTATATGATACCCAGGGCTGCATTTAGAATAGGCGCGACATTCAAAATATTATTGAAAACTTATACGACAATATATATGGACACTACTTGGATTTCACTGCGCTTTAGAAACCTTTATGTGAAATGTTTGCTGTTGCTGCCGCAACATTTGCGAAGCTATTGACCTTCTGTGAACGTCGACATTGACTTTGATTTTCACACATAGCTAAGATTTTAAGACACAGTCGCGCCACATGCATTGAAAGCACTTTAAAACCACTTGAGTGGCTTTCACAGAAAAGAAAAAATCTTTTGTGCGTTCACTTTGCAGCTTATTGTTTGCTCTCCACACAAGCATACACATATGTATGTATATGTTTATGTGCGTGTGTCTGTGAACAAGTAAAATTAAAAATTGCGTCAGCATTAATTCTTGTCATATGCCGGATTAAATATAATGACAACATAAACAAGTGCAAGTAGAGCAAAGCAGGGGATTGCCTTGAAACGATGTCCTGTGTGCAAAAGGCTTCAAGGCGAACACAGATGCGCTGCCATCGCTATAAATCCGTTTACGGCTAAACGTCACAGATGAAGGCCAGCCAGCATACCAGCCTTTTCTGCCTTGCCTTGCGTTGCCTATCCACCTTCCAACGTGCCTTCCTGTCGACCTTCCAGCCTGCCTGCCTTCCAGCCTTCCTGCATGCCTGCCTGCCTGCATTTCATTGCCATTGTTAGTGCGAATGTCTGCAGCATAACATTATGGGCAGTGAGCCAGGCTCGACCTTAACCCGCAACAAATTGCTGGAATGGGGCGTTGGGCGTGGCATGAGTTGCTGTCAAGGTTTTTATTTTTGCAAGCGACCTTACTCGTTGGCAAGGTAAATTTCGCTGCATTGCAAAAGGCAATGAAATTCCTTTTAAGTTTTTTTTGTTGTTATTATTAGTTTTCCATCATGTTTCTCATATCTGACTGCAGGTAAAACTAACACACATGATTAAATTTGAATAACCAACGCAAAGCTCTGAATTTTTTCAATAATATAAAATAAAGCTCTCAACTTTTTCACTTTCATTATATTTTTTTTTATGTTAATCGTTATTGTTGTTGTTCGTATTGGACTTTGTAGTAAATGAAAAAAGTTTAATGGGCGAAAGTTTGTGAATCATGGCAAATGAAAATTGTACAAAATGCGTACGAGATTTAAATTCAATCTGGACAGACGTGACGTGGGGCAGACGTGATTTAAGAACCAGCTGCTGGTGCTACTATGCTCGCTCATGCAGGGAAATAAATATATTTCTATTTCTCTCCTAAAGGATGAAGTTAGAGAGTTAAGGAATTTGTAATAAAAATAAATACCCTTGTGTATACCATCGCGGGTATAAGCTCAATGCTCTGTGTACCATTTGAGAACATGCTATTTTATAATGTATATATATATGTATATAATATATATACATATATTTTGTTGTTGTATATATCTGTCATGCTAAATCCGTTAAAAATTATAAGGTATCTGTTAATCGACTTATGTAGGCCCTTTTACATGTTCTCGTTTTTTTTAGACACTTCAAAGTAAATTAAGAAAATAATTTCCATGCCTCATGGAGACAATGTCAAAAACAAAAACAAGTAAGAATTTTGCAGTCGGGTTTGACTGACTGGCTAATACTCGAGCGGAACAAAATTAAGATGAGTTTACAGAGATCTATGAATTCACAAGGTAAACTCTGATCGATGTGCAAAACTTTTGTTAGGGGAAGACTTAAAATTGTGAAATATATTCATATAGGCAAGCGGGTATTGATGCACTGATCTACTCCCTTAACTCTGTATGAAAAAGAGAATGATAACGGCATTAAGTGTGCAGCTTAACGGTACATTAGGTAAACAGTGTTGTCAACATTCCACTCAGCTCTCTCTCTCTCACTTTCTGTCTTCCTCTCTGTCTTTCGCAAAACTTAAAATGGCGCCCAGCCAATGACCCTGTCAAGGATGTGGGTGTTCAGTGGTTAGCCACGCCCACACAGCTCAGTCCCAATCCCTTTCCCATTCCCATTGCCACTCCGTCCGCTTCTGGGGATCTGCTGGTTTTCCGTTGTCTAAGTGTGCGTGCATTTGAAAAGTGACCGAGATAATTTTGGCATGCTTTGTTTGCGTTTACTTTTGCTGCTTCACAAAAAAGAGGCCGCCCACCCACAGCTCCCCTTGCCATAAAATTTTGATGAGCAGCTGCTGTATTTTGGGTTGTGGTTCGGCCCGGGGTTTGGGCTCGAGCTCTGGAACATCAGGCAACAAATAAATTGGTGCGAATACAGGCGGGAGGCCTCTACCTTTATCAGAGATACAAACAACAGAAAATTGTGCTTGAATGCGATGCGATAGTGCCTGACTGAGAGATACCCCATAAGGCGATTAATATTAAAGCAAAGTAATATACCTACATATACAATATGAACAGAAGTTTAATAAGGGCTAAAATAAATATTATGTATGTGATTTAAATCAATTAGGGGAATATTTCTCAAATGCACATCTCTAGATTACATATATATATAAAAATATCGACTCCTTTTCTGATTCTGATCAAGCATATATAGTACTTAAAGTAGAGGCACAATTTTTCTTCTGCAGGTCACATGAAACCCAATATACCCTGTTCGCCCAACACAAAAACAACGAAATTATTTAGCAGCTACTTTTGGGACAATGCCGAGAACCCCTTTGGCCCGAACCAGTTTCGCTCATGCCCAACCTGCAGCCCTTTTGTAAAGGGTTTGCTGCTGTAATTATGCTAATTTCTGTTTAACATTCTTCTTAATACAAATAAATACCAGACCAGGCACTGACAGAGAGAAAAAAAAAAAACCAGCCACAAAAATCCCAATTCCCAATTCCCAATGCAAGTATCTATCGTCTTTCGACTGAATTGGCTTTGACGTTTAAAGCTTAACGGAAATTGTTTAAAAACGTCTTTCGGCACAATTTCCGGTTAAAGCTGACAACAGCTGCGGTAGCTAAAGCAAATAACGTTTCTTATTTACATAAGTAAATGGATTTCGAATTTTACTAATGAAAAACAAGATAAGAACATTTTTCCAGGAATTGAAAATGTCCTAAATACCCTAGCTAAGCAGGATGATGGTGTGTTTCTATCTAATATTATTATAAACTGAAGCTGAGCATTGGAAGAGATATATAACTATTCGAATTTCGATGGATGTAGACATGCTTGAACTGATTATAGATAAAATGAAGATTAATTCTGACTGTAGATTAAAATGCTTCACTTCTTACCATTTAATTACCATAATAAATATCTTTAAATTAGAAAAAAAGAAACTGTCTTATTAAGCCGCTTAGCCAAGTTCTTAGCCAATTACTAAATACGTTTTTAGCATTAGGAACTTTGTGTCTTAAGTACATTTTGGCACTTGATAAACGCCAAATGTTTACCGAGGCGAGCCTTTTCATCAATCAACTGGCTAATGAAGCCTGCCTGCAGAGCAAACAAGCAGCTAATTGAAAACTTTTACTCCTCAACTAGCTGTAACACCTACTACAAATCCGGCGACCCAAAACACCTGCTCAGGTCCCACAGGCTCTTGCCCACTCTCTATGCACGGACAGCTAACGGGCAGCTTTGTTGCTGCTTCTTCTAGCGCCCGACAAATAAGACTTTTTTTTATTTTGGCGAGAAACATGGCGCACATGGACCTTATATATTGGGCATGCTGTCTGAACTTAAGTTTCCGGCTGTGTTTTACTTCTTTTGCTTCTGTTTGCGCACGGCTTCCGTTTCCGCTCCAGGCTCGACTCAGGTCGCAGCAGCTGGTCAGTGCACTTCTTAGAGTTGTGAGCGTGTCGTGTTTTTCTGCGAAAATTTGTGATGAAGCTAAAACATATAGTCTAAATTTGACAAAATTTACAAATATAATAATGGTTGCTCTTATTAATATATTATATTTGGTTAATATAATGATCGAAGACCTTTAATTTGATATTTATGTGTCAAATTGGTCTATTTCTTATTGGCAACAGAGTTCATAGATTATCGATAATTCGTACCGATATTTTGACATTTTTGAGCCTCGTTTTCGTTGCAGCTTAACGAAAAGTTGTTGTTACTTTTATTAAAAATACTGCAAGTTTCGTTCATTTCTGTCACATTCTCCTTTTAATATGTTATCGAATCCTCGTGCTTATATCGATATTTATTCCAAGCTGTGTTTCGTCCATCTCCAAGCTCTTGGTCTATGTTCGTTTACTTTCTCGCTTACTCTTGCCGTCGGCCTGCCAGCTTCACTTGACGCATTGCCGAAAAATTTATTGGTTCGCGCCGGTGGCAAACCCAGAAGCAGTCTCACATTAATTTCTTAAGTTGAAGCCTCGGCCAGCAGCAGACACAGCTTGCATATATCTGCACACACATGCATGCATATATATGTATGTATGTATTGTTTCTATCCTTTGTCTTTTGCAGAGAATCGATTCGAATTACTTGCCAACAGTTGCTGGCGTCGCCGATCTGAGCATAATTAAATATGTCTACCGTACGGATAGATGTACATATATGTATGTGCGTCTTTCCATTTTCTTCGCTGCTAATTAAGGCCGGCACTGTTTGCCAGGTGTTTTGTCTTGCTTAATTTATGCATCATCCAGTCTCCAGCGAAGTGCATTAAAAACCAAAAATAATTAATCAATTTGTGAGGCTTTGTTTGTTATATGCGAAGCGATTGAAGCTTGAACAGTGTTGATTAATGCTCTTAACTGCAAATAAATTACATCGCGTGGCAATTGCCGTTAAATTTTGAAAGCCTTGAAATTCTTGATGCCTTTAATTAAATTTTTAATGCATTTATATGTAACGTAGTTACTGGCTTGAATATTAATTTAAAATATGCACAGCATACTTTTGAGCGTTAAACTTCTTTATTGTGCTCGTCGATCAATATTCGGAATGCCTATAATTCACTTCGTTTGTGGTGAAATGCTGCAGCTTTATTTGGTTTATTTGGGACAACTGCGCGTTGCGTCAGCGGCACAAAATGGATGTTTCTGGCTCCTTTGGCTGCTGGTCATGCGACCCGAAATTTACAAAATGCGAGAAAAAAATAATAGAAGAAAAAAGAGACAAGATTTACGAGTTGCATTTATGAGCAAGCTTTTGGCCCTGCTCCGTACCATGGGCGCTGGCAGTTGAGTAATGCATGTTTCGCAATTGCCAATTGGCTGCCATATATCAATTGTTAGCAGCCAATTTGGCGATCAATATAAAAACGCGTGCTCTGCCCATTAGCACATAATCATGGCCTGGCCACGCTGCTGGTCCGCAGTAGTTAAAATGCGGGAAGGAAGGACGATTGCTTTGGTGCGCAGTGGCCCGCATATTTGTATTGGCTTTGGTTTCGCTCTACAGCTCCTGCTCGACTCATTCTGCAGCTACCTTCATTAAATTACACACACGCACAGCAGCACACACACACACACACACTCTCTATAGCGCCCACAGAGGCAACCATGTGTGCTGGTCGTCGTGTCCTTCGCTTCAAGGATTTGCTGTGGCTCCCATTGCCTGCTGGCCGTGTAATCGCAAATAATCATCCACTTAGCGTCATGAAACTTTATGCCAAATGCTCCTCCGTCCGGCTTAGCAGAGAGCCGTGCAGTTGAGCTCAGCTGAGAAGCTGAAACGCGGCACTCAAATGGCCAGGCCCTAAGAGACCCTAAGAGAGTCAGTCCCATATAAAGTGCCCGAACATAGTCATAATAATGTTTATTATTGTTCGCAATTGAGCACATGCCGACTATTTGTTTGCTCTGACAATGTTACGCATAAAAGATACAAATGGATTTCACATACCGCACAGTACTCAAAGTGTGTGGCTGTGGCTGTGGCTGGGGCTGTGGCTGGGGCTTTGCTGTGGTTCCTGGTCTTAGCATCTTGCTTAAAGCCAAAGGAAATGCTCGTTAAGTGAATGTGGATAGGAATCCCAGAAATAGCTGGCAGGCAAATTTAATTTCTTGTACAGTAAAAGTATTGTACTCAAAGGAAAACAGCTTAAACGAAGTTAAATGAATGCAGATTAAAGCTGCAAAATATTAAACACACTCATTTAAAAATTCCATTATTTTTACTTAAAAAAATTACTAGAATTATATATTTTACGAACTTATATACGATTGGACCAGTTTATTTTTTTTTTACATTAAAAATTAAATTTTTAAACGATTTTGTTTTAAATGTAGACAATATTTATTAAATAATTATGAAAATCTCTAATAATTAATATTTTAA